TCGAGAAAAGAGGGAGGATTAAAAAAGTAACGATTGTGATAGAATTGAATGGAATCGAACTATTTCCTTCAATTTTTTATTTTAAATTTTTTTTATTATAATTATAATTTTTTTTTTATTTTAAATCTATCGATTAATTTTATCAAATCAACGTAGCGATTTAAATTTATATAATATATATATTGATATATTTATAATTTAATATTAATAATTCAATATTTATAATTTATATAGCATAAGATTGAATAAACAATAATTTTAATTTATCGAACTAATGTAACGAGGCAGGAGTTTATATATAACTATATCGTAAAGTTTATTTGAAGAGAATTCAACTATCTAATTTATCTCATAGTTGCGCTATAGGCGAAATGTTGAAAGTGTCAAAAGAGGCAGGAACTTGAAGTTAACAAGTTTAGCCTGCGGGCCACGTTTAATAGCGATTTAGCGCGTTTGCTTGCCACGGTATGACCAACTGTGTACGCACAAAGCAAAATTTAATTAAAAGGAAGTCGAGCCGCGCACTACTGAAAGGCGGCCTCATTTAATAAGTTCCGGTGTCATGGCTAACTCTTCGTCACATGAAACGTCGTTACAATTAACGCTGCTCTCTATAAATTGCGAATTTGTGTTAAAAATATCTATAGCCAATAACGATAATAAGACATAAAAGTACGATTCGACAAAAGTAAAGGGTATATAAAAAGTAAAAGGAAGATGAAACGAAGATTTAAATTTTTCAATTTTTCAATTTTCAATTCTCAAATTCGTAGAAAGATTTATTACTCCAAGTGGAATTTCAATATCTCTCTACATCTCATTCCTATTGAAATCTCTTACGAACAGCATCCATTTCTGGATTTTCAAACGTTATATCACGGACGAAATCATTTTGTTCCAGCGTCTGGGCAGTATTCGTGGCGAGGATATATCGTATATCTTCGGTCTGCCGTTGGTGGGTGGAGGAGCTTTCTTTTCACGGAATTATTCTCGCCAGGATCAAACCGTCGCCGAAGCTGTTCTCACGTTTTTCACGAATTTCGCGAAAACTGGCAATCCGAATGAGCCGCACAAAATCGAATCGGTGGATTACGGTACACCAAAGGAAAAAACGCGATATCGTGGCCTTACGTGGGAGCAATACGAGACTGGTACTCAACAATATCTCACAATTGGTAAGTTTCTTCTTCATCGCATTTTTTTTTTTTTTTTATTATCTTCTTTGTGTATATATATATATTTTTTTTGAATATAGATATGTGTTATTGATTATTATCGAATTATATGTTATAATAAATTATTTTAGCTATGAAACCAAAAATGAAGAGCCATTATCGGGGTCATAAAATGGCGGTTTGGTTAAACCTGATACCTCAACTCCACCGACCCGGCGACGATGATGTTTCTATGCGTCATCATCATTTCCGAGAAAGAGGCGATCATTTTTATGCAGGTAAAGAAAAAAGGATAAAATTTTTATTTCAAATAATGTTAATCTCTGTTCTATATTGATTACATTAAATTTATAAAATATTACATTTGATTTATAAATAATACATAATTCAATCATTAGATTAAATTAATTAAGAAATTGTTAAATTTTTTAGGACCAGTTCGAGACGAATGGTACACACCCTTACCCCTCGTAGGAACAACTAAAGCCAGCGCCTCGTCCACAACAGCGTGCAGTACAACTACAGGCGATGACAGTATCACCGAGGATATTACCCCAATCCTGGATGATTCAGAAGACGACGCTGAATTGTTACAAAGACTAGCTTCTCGTCACTATTATAGCACTACCACAGCTCTGGCAATCACTGTAGGGGTGGGTTGCATTCTGTTAGTGCTCAATATGTTGATATTCGCCGGCATTTACTATCAGAGGGATCGAGACAAAAAAAGAGCAGCCATGGATTGTACACCAAACGGGCAAGAATCTCTACCAATGACTACCAGGTCATCTATAAAAGCTCCAGAGAGTCCCAGACCAGCCCAAGAACCACCACCATCGTATACTACCCTTGCGAGAAGTCCCTCTATCCAGGAACATCAACAAATTGTCCAGAGTCAATCGACAGAAGTTGACGAACAATTTAAAAGTGAACAGAAACCTGGTCACGGGACCAGCAATGCCATTCACAAAGATCCCATTCCTCCAAAACCACCCACAAGAACAACCAGCTCTTTAAGTACTACTAGTGGCACCAATACCATTAAAAAACGTGTGCAAATACAAGAAATATCCGTATAGCATTAGGGGTTGCCCTTAGAGGGCAACATGAAGAACAAGAAGGTGACTTTCGTAGATTTTGAAGCGAATGGCGAATCCAAGTTTTGAGATGTGAATTAAGAAATGTTCAATGACAAAGCTCAAGTTGACAAAGAAAATTGTTTTCTTGGATTATAGTGGAAACATCGATGAAAAATTGAAACTTTCGGTGTTTTTTTCAACACTTGTTAATGTAAACTCTAAAGGAAAATGAATTCAAAGCGTCATTCAATTCTATGTTAAGTATTCTCTAATTATTCTGATGTGTAAACAGCGATAACTGCCATATGTTATTAAAAAGACAAAGTGCTTTAAAGGAGGGCTTGAAAGACTATTGTTCCTCGATTATGCACATAGGACTCAAAATATTTAATATTTGAGTACGTTCCTTTATAGAATGTGATATATTTCTTTCAGGAGATATTATCAAAGTCATGTGTTACACAAAGCGATTCATAATGAATTAATTCAATTTAAAATAATTTCTTTTAAAAAAAAATATTAAAATTGATAACTATAAGAACTGTGTTGTTAACTAATGAAATATTTTTCAAAAGTTTATTATTATCGATAATTGTTTTTCTATAAATACATTATTGAACAAATATATCAAACATATACATCTTTTCTTTTTACTGTTTTTTATTATATAGTTATAAAAATAAATGGAAATAAATTTTAAAATTTATCTTAACTTGTCTTAAACATGATAGTAAATGATACTATAAAGAAAATATTTTCTTTTTTTTATTTATCAATTTTATTTAAAAAAAGAAACAAAATTGGTAATAAAAATTTGCAAGTTAACAATATAACTGTCCTACACTTATCAATGTTTTTTGAAGTGTTTTTGTCTTAGCTAACATCCAAAATGAATTATGTAACCAATATAATTTCTGATATAATTGATATTAAGCTCACAAAAGATTTTTATTTCCGTTTTTGTGTGCAACTTAAAAAAATCATAGTCTTTTTTATTTCAAATTGTGCATAAATTCGCACAGATAATCAATTAAGTAACATCTATGTAACATATATGATTCATAGAGAATATGAAAAAAATGATTAAAAATTAATTCTAAATTTTAAACGACAATAGTTTTGCGTTGTTGATATTGTAAATGTGATGATTAATATGATTTTTTTTAATCAAAAAAATAAAATTTGTAGATAAGTCACTTTACTAATTTTATTTATTCTTGAAAAATTGTTATTCTTATTAGAGAAAAAATAGAAAAGCTATTTCTTACTAAAATATTCTCTATTACAAATTTCGTTCTATTTTATCACATTAAATGACCTAATAAAATATTTAAAGAGAGACAAAAAAGAACGCAGTTATCTCTTCATCATCTTGATATCATTCACAATTTAAAAAAAAAAGAGAAAACTGAAAAAACTTATATTTATGCATTCAATACAATGTAAAAGACCATTTCTTATATTCGCATTAAAAATTTATGCGAATGCTATGTGAAAGTTTAAGATTTAAATAGTTAAAGGAAACAGATGAAAATTATATACATTTTTAATATAGTTCAGTTTATAAAGAACTCCATGATATTTGCGGAAGCATTGAGTTCTTAGTGAAGTTCTTTAGTGAAAATATATGCTCAAAACATAATCGTAAAAATGGAACACGATTTCTTTTAAATTAAATTATACGTAAATCTCTTCGACCAAGTAATCTAAGGTGAGATTACATTCGTATTTATGCAAATATCATTCATCTTTACAAAATTTTTCAAACTGAATCTGTTATTACGTATTAAAAAATTATTAAATTGGATTTTTAAAAACTTAATATAGTATTACAAAGAGATTTATTTTTTATTTAAATACTATTTTAAAAATCATATAATTAATATTCATATATAATGATATTTTAATATCATTTCTTACATAAAACATAAAAAAAATTTATTTCTTTGTAATCTTTTCTACAATATAATATTACATATTATTTATAATCATTGTTCTTCCATTAATTAATAAAATTAAATATTGCTAATACTTTGAATATATATTATCGATATAAATTTCATTTTAAAAGTATTATCAATCTTTAAAAATTCATTCTTTAATACACATAATCCAGACTGATTACCGAGACATATTAACGTACAATACACTTACAATCATTCTATTAAGATTGATGTATATGCGAGGAAAAAAATTTTCCCCTCTGAAAAAGGAAAAACATCATGAGCTTTAGCAGATGAAATTTCCATCACCGTGTAAAAAGATAACACTTGTTTAATATAGTCGAATTTATTTAATCGAGTGTATGCATTTTTTGAGGCACATGAAGTAATGAAAGCGTATTGGTATGAATAAGGACATAACATTGTACTTTAGATAGCAATCATACTATGCACGGTGTTGCGTAACTGTACTATCGATTTCGATCATTTTCAATATATAATTTCCCAATAAAAAAATAAAAAGAAAGAATATTCGTCAAATTTTGGAAATGGTACGAATCGTCAGCACATTATGACTATTCCGTTAACGGTTGTGTGAACGGGTTATCGAGCACATAACAGTGAAATTTAAGTAGCAAATTAGTAATAAAAAACACTTTGTAAATTTCACTGTAAAACAATAAAATGCTGATTTCTAAATACATTTTCATTTCCAATGAAATTATATAATTAATTTTATAATTAATCTTATCCTATAATCGAAACGTGTTAAGCTATGCATGGGATTATGAAATAATGTACAATTTACAAATATAAACAGCGTTGTACTTTTATCCTTATATAAATAATACACACTGTTATTAAGCATAACAAAAAATATGCGCTTAAGGTAAGTAGCTTCCTATTTTGAATATCTTTTCATATTTTACACATAAGTGTCCGTATAATAAAAATATGATTAATATACATGTGTATAGAACATTTTTAGTTTTTTCAAATTAAATATCATTTTTTAATTACTCGATAGCAGCCTTTTTATTAGGAACCAGATCATTGTTGTCACTGTTACGCCTTTTTCTTTGACCTCGCGTATTACGACCTACGAATATATAATTTATATCAATTTAATATATATATAATTTTACTTTAAAATTTAAAAAACATAATTAAAAACATTCAGTTATTTTTGAAGTTTAACTCATCGAGATCCAAAGCATATTAGCATGATTTCTCGGTATTAGCATGGCAAGGCATCATTATAAAGATAATACTTTAATTTTATTTTAATTTTAGAATTATTTAGCATTATCTTATTATACTGACCTTTCTTGCCTTTCTTTCCTTTATTATATTTTTGCCTTGTATTTACTATTTGTGTTTTTGCCTTTGTGAGATATTTCTCTTCTTCTTCCCCTTCAAGAACACGACAAGTAACTGTTTTATCTTGAATCAGTATCTTATGAAAACAAAAAAAAAATCAGTAAAACATCAATATTAACTAATATTAAAATTTAAGTAATAAAAAAAACAATCACTTGATTATCCGTCATTTTATCAATTATAACCTTTGCAGTATTTTCTTCCTGCAAACGAACCCATCCTTCCTTATCACCTATTTTAAAATCAACAAATGCAATATTTGCATCTAGTTCACCTAAACGTTCTTTAATATCTTCTCTTGTACATTTCTCAGGTACATCAATAAAGTGAATCACACAACCCTTTGGTAATGAAATATCTTTTTCATTTTCATCCTCTTCACCACTTTCATCATCTTCCTTATCTTTCATCTGAAAATGAGTTATTTTCATATTTCATATTATTGCTTCTCTCATCATTAGAGTAAATATAATATAAGAAATAAAATTTTCTGTACTAACAGATTCACTTTTCTTTGCCTTCATTTCTGATCGTTTTTGTCTTCTATCTTCTGTTTCTTTAGCTTTTTCTGCACTATAGTCAGCTCTAAAATATTAACATTTTAAATTAAATATATAATTTCATAGAAACTTTTATAAGAATCAAATAGTTTGATTAACTTACGACCACTTTCTAATCAATTCAGTATCTCCATATTTTATAGATTCTCTAGCCATAAAAGCTTTTGCATCTTCTAGAGTTTTGAATTGTACAAAAATGGAACCTTTGAATTGTAACTTCTTTCCTTTATCTTGATATTTTCTCATCTATTAAATAAAAAAAAAAAATTGAAAATCTAAACACTTTTTTGTAAATTTTTTCTTTAATTGAAAATGTCACTTTTATCATATAAAAGTCAAATACTTACAACAATATTTTCAAATGGTTCATAAGCACTGAAAAATGTTTTAAGTTTTTCAATATTGGTATCCTGTAAAGGAAATCCTTTTACATAAGCAGTCCTAGCTTCCTGTGCTTTTCTATATTCCTCATTATATATTGGTAAAGGACATTTTGGAGAACGACGAATTTTTTTCTTGTCTTCAGATATTTCCATAAGTTTACTTAATTCTATAGCTTTTAATATAACATCAGGCTCTTGGCTCATAGAGGCCAACATTTTAAAGTTTAACATAACAGTCATAGGAACCCAACCATCATCCAATTTTGTTTGTTCAATGAGAAATTTATCTCTTTGCATATTCACATCTCCAAAATAAAACTAAAAATACCAAAAATTTTATTTTAATAACAATATAACAATTTATATTATTAAATATTATAAATCTTTTCTTTGCGTTCATACAAGAAATATATAGTGACATATGACTCATACATGAGTCATATATTTTATTCTTTTAATAATTAATTATTTTATTCATAAAATAATACCTCAATTTGATTTTTTATTTTTTCCAAAAGTTCACTAGATGGTTCATCAGATGTTTGATTAATAGCACTTTCGTCAGAAACCGGCTTTTCATTCTTAACCTCGCCATCAACAGCATCACTTATTACAGTTTCAATTTTGTTTTCTTCTTGACCGTTTTCCATTTTTATTGCTTCTTATATAATATACGTTCGATAAAATTTAAGTTTTCAATATTTATTTTTTAAATGTAAAAAGAAATTAGTTTGTTGCTAAGATTGCACTCCAAACAGCATGCCCACAAATGCTTTCTTGGAAACCGGAAGTAAATCTTACAAATAGAAACGATAATTGATCATATGAAATTTGAAAATAGTTATGCAATAAACAATTATAACTTAACAATTTGTTATACAGCATAAAATGAGTTTTTCCTTATATCCTTATTCAAATAATAAATTGAATATGTTTAATAAAAATATAAGATATGTGATAAATAGGAGAAATGATTATAAGCAATTAATATCGGTATTAGGAATTTTATTTAATTAAAACATATTACTTCGTGAATTATAAATTAAAAATTAGACATAAATATCAATATAATTACACTAAAATATTTGATATACTTTAAACCGGAACTAAAAATAAGGATTTTATCGGTTTGTACAATTTTACCATAGACTAAGTATAAAAATAGATCTACCATCTACTATCTAATATCTTTCACTTTCTTTCATAAATACTTCTTTACCTGTATATTACACGACAAATAAAAATATAGAAATATAATATATTTAATATATATGATATATGAAAATATAAAAATATATATACAAAATATATATTCATAAAAAAAATATTACTTGTTAAATATTAAATATTATCTATTTTAGCATTTAACTAGTAGCGTCATCTCTTTGAAAAGTATTCAAAGTAATTATAATCAAATAATGAAAATTAATATATTATAGATTATATTTCTAAAAATAAACTTATATTTTTTTCAAATTTTTGAATTTAATATTTTCTAAAATAATATATTAATATATTAATAATATGATTTTGTTAAATATTTAAATATCATTTATGAATGGAATTATTATAAATTAATGAATTTATATGATACTTCATTTATAATCACGCGCTAAAAAGCAAGTATAAATAATAGTGGAAAAATGGAAATAAATAAAAAATTGTGGTATTAATAATGCCACTTCTAGATCATTGCAAATGAAACTATATAAAGAAGTAAAGAAGGAAAGGAAATACAGAAAGAAAGATAGAAATAAAATAAAAATTGACCATTAGCACCATCTCTTGAATATTAAAATTTTTAATTTAAAATTAAGCTAAGATAAAAAAAAAAGCTAAATAGATTTAAAATAAAAATTGAAAGTTAGCGCCATCTCTTGAAATTAAATATCTTTCCAAAATTATTCGTAAGATGGTACTGATAATCAATTTTTATACACGCGAAATTTTTCTATTCTTTTTTTAAAGCAAAAATTTTTATTTAAATTTCGATTTCGTATTATTAAAATATAATTGAACATGTGGTATGTGATTTTTTTATAAATTTTTGTTCAAATTTTGACCTTGCATTAGGAAAATATAATTGAATAAAAAAGAGCATAAAATTCTAAAGAGAAAAATTTTTCATATTTTTCAATCAAATTTTATATACTTATCTTTTACATTACAATTACTTATTACAATTATTATTTTTTTGGGTTTTATATCATTTTTTTTTAATTCTAGAGATATCTTTATAATAAGAGCTGTCATGCAATATTAAATGTTTTTGAACATTTTTCAATTAATTTTTGATAAAATATATAAAAAAATATTTTAGATAAAAATTAAAGTTTCAAATAAGATATATTTTATAGCTATTAAATACGTAAAACATATAGATGTTTAAGGAAAAATTAATTTTATTCTTTTAAGTAGAATCATATTTTTTAATATATAGGTTAATACATTTCGGCATTTTTTCTAATATCTCATAGTATATCATGAAAATCAAAAAATTATTAATAAGAAAAAATTAAATATGTCCTAAAATAATGATTTTTGTTGTAAATCGTTTAGTATTTTTTATAGAAAATAATGTTACATATACAAAATTCCATGAGATGGTAAATCTATTCTATACATTGTTTGTGATGAAGAGTGCAGCAACGCTGACTTAAGCTTCGAGTACTGCGCTCCCTTCCGGTTCGCTCTTTTCGGGTGACTGAGTCTTATTTAGTTTAGCTGTAATTAAATCTTTCTCCATCTTCCACCATGAAGATCTACAAAGATATTTTCACCGGTATGTAAGTTTAAAGTATCTTTAAATAACATACATTATGAATATTTTTCAAATTATTTGTTATATGGAGAAATAAATTATTATACTTGATCAAAGATGGATTTACAGTGACATTTCTATCACGAGGATCAAAATTTCTACAGTAATAATTGTAAACTATCTTTTGGCTACGATTTTCAATATATAAATCTATAAATATATCATGAAATATATATTTAAAACTATTTATTGTTATAAAATTATTGAAGTATCACTTGAATATTTAATATTCTAATTTATAACCTCTCCATATGTTCGAAATGACTCATTTCAATACAAATGAAATATTTCAAGCAATTAATATTTCACAAATATTTTAAAGAAAAATTATTATTTTGAATCAATTTTTTACTATAATAAAGGGCATTTTTTATTACTATTTTCTTTAAAATTTATATGATTCAATTTTATAAAATAATATATGCATTACATAATTTATTTTATTATATTAAATTTTATATTTTAATTCAATTTTTATATTATAGGTGATGAGATGTTCTCAGATACTTATAAAATAAAATTGGTTGATGATGTTCTATATGAAGTATATGGCAAGGTATATATTCTTTTAATCTTATTTTTACATTCATATATTTATATTTAGCTAGTAACCTGAATTTACCATATATTTAGCAGCCTGAATTTATTTTATATTTAACTTTAACTTATATTTGATTAACATTTTAAATATTCATTTATATTATTAATTTCTTTTTTATTTTTGTAATTAGGTAATTACTCGTAAATCAGGTGACATAGAAATTGCTGGTTTTAACCCATCTGCTGAAGAAGCTGATGAAGGAACAGATGAATCAGTAGAATCTGGTGTTGATATAGTTATGAATCATCGACTTCAAGAAACTTTTGCATTTGGTGATAAAAAATCTTATACTTTATACTTAAAAGATTACATGAAAAAGTAAGTATTAATTTTCTATTATAATTTAGATTTTTATTAAATAATAATACTTTTAATTTAATTTTTGTTAGATTGGTAGCAAAGTTGGAAGAACAAGCTCCTGATCAAGTAGACGTTTTTAAAAAAAACACAAATAAAGTAATGAAAGATATATTGAGTCGTTTTAACGATTTACAATTTTTCACTGGTGAATCTATGGACATTGATGGTATTGTTGCGTTATTAGAATATCGCGAGATCGATGATGAATCTGTGCCTGTACTCATGTTATTCAAGCATGGTCTTGAGGAACAAAAGTTCTAAATAATTTTAGGTATACAACAAATTGTGGAAAAAATATTGTAAGTTTTACATTTATTACTTCTATTTTATTAATATCAGTTGCCTGTAGTGTATATGTAACTATGTTAATAATATTCAGATATAAATTAACGATATAGATACATGTTAATTCATGCCTTATACTTTAATTGTTTGTATTGGGCATTGCACAAACATGTAAAAAAAAAATGGTGATCAGATTCCCGCTGTGATATGCTTTCTCGACATAGCGTCTATTATAGCCAGATATTAATTTATATATAATTTGTATATATAAATTTATATTTATAAATGGATAAAAATGAATAAAAATTTATATATTATTATTAATATATTTATGTATTTTTGCAGATAAACTCAAATCAAGACTGTACACAATGCTGAAAAGCTTGTGAAATTTAGTTAATGGAAAACACGATTTTACTTCCAATCTTATTCTATAACGCAGTTAACTTATTTTTTTTTAAACAACAATCGATGCCAGTCTCAATGGAACTAATAATTGTAAATATATAACTTAATTGAAGGGAAGATATTACAAAGCACATTATTCCTTCAATTATATTATCTGTATCTGATTTCGCTGTAGTGTTTATAACATTAATTTTTTACTTTTTTTTATTGGTCACTTATTAGAGAATTTAATTTATAATTCGAAAATGGAAGATGGGGAAAGAAGTTTGCAGCGATGAAAATATCAAAATATACATCTAATTATTGTTAACATCAAAAAATGTCTGTGGGTAACAATTACATCTGAAACATACTCTGTATAATGTCCATCACGAATAAAAAGGTGTTTTCATAATTATGCTTACGAGTCGTGTTCTTATTTTGATAAATTGTTTTAATTGAATTTTATAATAATAAAAGTACACAATAAATCAAACAATCATTTTGCTTCATAAAAATATTATATTTAGACAAGTCAGAATAGACAATTTATCTCTTGGCGCAAGACAGTACATTATATATTTTTTTACTAGAGAATTGTTATTAGCCATATTTTATATTCTATATATGACTTCTTCACATTTCTTCCATTAACAATTTCGCTCTCGCATTGTCGCATTCTCTCTTATACTCTTTGTTCTCTATATTTATATCATCATCATCATTATCATATTTATTACGCATATTCTTTTATGAATATATTACTCTCGTTCGTTATAAAACAATTACCGATCCAATATGGAATCTTTCACGTTCCAAATATGTTTTCATGTGTCATTATCTGAAAAAATGTTATATTTTTATGCATACGAAAGCGTATTTTAATTTTAATAATGTAATAATAATTCATATGTATGTATGTATGTATACAGCCACAAATGTATACATATACATACAAATAAATGAAGAATCAAAAGATGTGCGAATTAATTATCGCTTCGAAAAATGATATTTACAGCTTAAAGATAGTAAATTGAACTTCAAAGATGTACATACATATAATACATGTTTATGTAAGTACATATTTGTGTTCATAAATATGCATATATATATATATATATAGACATTGCTTTAATTATCGAGCACAACCATAGTATTATTATTACTAAACACTAACATGAATTAGTATTCCAATTTAAAACAATGTATTTGACCATATGAAACAATCAACATACTGAGTTTGTTAATAAATTGTATTAATATAAATAAAAAAATTGTTATTCATAAATATCTTTAAGCTGTTAATATAATAATTATTTCTGAATTGGAATATTATATTAGAGAGCTATACTATACATTTATAATTAATGCATTTTTGAATATTAATGAATTTTCTGTTCACTAATGTGTTCTTAAAATTACAAGTCTTACACATAATTTATTAATTTACAATCAAATTATAAAAATCTACTCAATAAAACGGTACAACAATTTGATAAGAATTTTTTTTTTTTTGTTTTAACTTGAAGGAAGAAAGATAAAAACATGGAATATTGGGCTATGCTAATATTCCAAAAATTAGTTAATTGTAATGGCAGTAAGTTAATTTGTTATTAATACATAGCATTCATTGATACATAAAATTTTATGACATTTATACACACAGAAGGATTGTTTTAGTACTCTGGCTTTTAGTTTAATTCATCAAAGATACAGTAATTTAATAGGACACCTGCTACTATTTAAGTGGCATTTACCTTACATGTTCTAGTAAGGTAAAAACAATTATTTTATTCATTATTACTATTTATATTAAACTTATTTGTACTGGTCTATATAGAATGGGTGCGTAAAAACCTTTTCAAGTATCATAAAAAACTATGACTAAATATCAATTTAAAATTCTAACTAATATTATTTTTCATTTTAGTGAATAAGAAAAAATATAAAAGTATAAAATACAGAATGTAAAAGAATATCATAAATAATTAAATACATAAAAAATAACAAATTTCGTAAGTATCAAATAATGATAAAAAATTTTGTTCTCCATCCGTTATAATTCATAATCATACAAAAGGTTTACAACGCACCGCATTCGTTCATTTTAGGACACTGTTACTAAGTAAAACATTACTACATATAATTTGAGCATCGTACAATTTCTAGAATAATTCAAAGAAATATGGCAAAAGCATTAAGTTTATATAGATATAATTGTATAATTGTATACATAATTTTTTCATTCCCATATATCACTTCATCATAAAAACATGCTATTATTTAATAAATTTATTCCAATACATTCCAGAATTCCATTTTGAATCTCTTACCTTTAATATTACCTTTAATATGTTTTAGAATAAGATATTAAAAATTCTGCCATTATCTTTGTCACTTTACTGACCGCTAATGAGGTTCTTAATAATTATTTGTGAAAGTTTTGTTTATATATATATATATATATATATATATATATACATATATTCAATATTATTATATGTATGTATGTATAGATATCATCATTTTAACATTTATATATTTATATGAAACTTCATTCACAGGTAGCTTCATTCACGCCCACCACTCTTTATAGTCTTTCACTGCTTATCTTTTTTCATTATTACTATTATTATTACTATTATTACACGTATTGAGGAATTAGATGAGGTGACCGCAAAACGCGTTTCATTTAGAGGTAATTTTGGTCGAGATATATATTTTTAATATGAATGTAAAATAACAGAACATCTAATTATCATTCTAATTTAAAAACATCAAAAAAATTGATATTACAGAAATTGTATGATAGATATAATAGTTTCTTATTAGCTTATAAAAAACATATAAATAGAAATTTTAAATTATATAAATAATATATTTAATTATATAACATATAAACAGAACTTGAATTTATTTCGAAAATTGTTCGGAATTATTAAAATTGGATTGAATAAGTGTCAAAAATAAGTGTTAAATTAATAATTTAATCCAGCGTTTGAATGTGTCACGTAAGAATTATAAAAAATTATTAGATATTAGGCGTTTGAATAAAATGAACAGCAACTCCAGCAATATTAAAAAAAAATCAGGAATTTAATAATGTGTTTTTTCTCATGATGATAATGCATAACATTAAAAACTCTCATCAAATAGATAACAATAACCAACAACTAACAATCGTAAGCATTCACGCAAAAATAGAAATATGTTTAATAATATTTTAATATTATCATAATTTATATTATCGAAGTAAGTATGATCATTCCTTATGATTTCTAGGGATACTATAGTAATTTATATAGATAATTAAAACTGAAGGATATCAGAAAAATAGATCTATTTTTTAAATCTTAAAATCAAATTACAATCTAAAAACAATAAATCTAAATATTTTACAAAAGGGATATAAATATATTTTTATTTATAAATATTTTTAATAACGCAGAGATTATTTCAATAGATTATAAAATATATATTATACACATGATTAAAATATATTAAAATTTAGAATCTTTATTGCCACGAATTTAAAATCAATGAATATTTTATAAAAATATAATATTAATTTATTATTAATATTTTATAAAAATATAATAATCACAATTCAAATTTTTTGCTATCATTTAAAAATAGCAACTCAATAAATTTTTGAAAATTTAAAAAAGTAAAATATAAAATAGATACATTTTTTTTTTTTAATTCTATTATTTTCTTATATCCTTCAGTTAAAATCATCATAAGAATTCTCAGAATCACTAACAACGATAATAAGGTTTCTATCTTAGATCTGTTCTTGATCAATTAATTCTTAAATATCTAGGTTTAAAGGATAAATTCTACATTGCAAGCATTGTATCTCTTGAATGTTTTTTAAAAGTTTTCACATCATATAATACATTGAATTCAATGAAAAATTCAATTTTTGCATCAAATAGTAAATTATTAAGAATAGTATTAACTTACACATACTATTCACTATTACATATAACAAAAAATTGCTATTAAACACAAAAAAAAAACAAAAAAATAATAATACATGATCTGTATATAGATTTTCAATTTACCAAAAGTAAAAATTGCTCTTAATAGAAGAAATTGCTCTTAATAGAAATTTTCTTTCATATATCAGTTTATCTTTTAACAGTGTGAATATATTTATGTATGATAAATGATATCTGGAGTATATCCATCTTTTTCATTAATATTTCATTTTATAATATTATGTGTTACAATTTCAATATTTTTTGTTACATAAGCTGCTGCATATAAGTATGTATATATGTATTTATATACTATATATATATATATACACTTGTATGCATTTGTATATATATATATATATAATAATATATTTATATATTATATATATATATACAATATATATATATATAAAAAGAAATATTATAATATAAATTTAATTGATAATGAAATTAGTAAATTTTACTATTATTTTTTTTCTCTATACTCTAAAATACAAAACAATAAATTATTGTATAATGCACACACGTGTAAAACGTTTTCGTTTTATGTAAGTATGTATAATAATAATATATCTAAAGATGCTCTTTATGGCTCATCCAAGTGTACGATCCGAATCGAGGCAGCGTTGGAATGTAAAAAAAGCTTGTCACGCTTATTATATAAGTTGAACCAACACCAAGGATTGTAATTTATATAAAATGAAGGAGATCGAAGAGATATCATCCTATACATTCGATATATTTTGAAAGACTAGTAAAACAAAGAAAAATTAATACACGAGTCGAAAAAATAGAGAGTGAACAAAGAAAAGAGAGGGCATAAGAAATCAGTATCTTAGGAACTTCCACATGATTTTAGGATGTGCATAGTTCAACGTATACGCAATTGAAATCTAATGTGAATCGGCAATATCCGATAGGAAATCGGCATACGTGAGAATTTTGCTTGTACAATATATGACATACATAAACAACGTGTGTCATAGACTGAAATATGCAAAGAGAAGGAGAGATCATTCCGAGGTATAACAGCGAGTTTGAAAATTCGTCAGATCGACTCTCGAAGATGTTATAAATCCCGTTGATTCGTTCTCAGCGATAGCATCCATTGTTCGACTTCCGACATGCTCTCGATACGAATCGAAGAAAAGGACGTTGATTATAATAATGCGCTAACGAACAGAAATATAAATAAAACAGTGAAAAAGAGAAATGTAAGTAAATTGTATGTCTCACTCGATATGTGAGAATTTCTATTTTTATTTAATTTTTTTTTTTCTTTTTCACTGTGAGAGATATATATCGAAGTTATCAACGGGAATTTCCTTTTTTACACACATACATATATATATATATATCTCTTCAATGATGTTCTTTGCTTTTTTGATATATATATATAATATTTATATTTGTTTTTCTGTCGTATCTTTTATAAATCGGTGTGCCCCAAGACGCGGCACACCTTCTGTTCCTAAGGATCTGATCGTGATTCTAACATCTCCACGAGAAAATCGTCGATCGGTACGTCACCGATCATTTTGAAGAAGAACAGGTACTCGAGGCACTTTAATCCGATCGAACGGATGGCGGGCAGGCGTAGAAGTAATTTCGCGAATCTTCCTGCATCGTCGGGCCAAGCCACGCGACAATAACCCTCCAGAGCGCCATAGATCTTCTCACGGAGCAGGGTCACTTCCTGGATGGATTTCAGTCCTCGAACCTCAGGATTGAAGAGTATTATAGATCTGTTCGTGATTAATTATTCATGATGAGAAATTGTAAATTTAAAGAAGACAACGAAAACTTGTTCGATATAGAATAACAAAAGATCAAAAAAAGATTGCCATCGTTCCATGAATAATTTTCAAAATAATTTTAATCCAACATAAAAGCATTAACATGATAACATTATTACAGACCTGAGACAGCCAAGCTCTGTCCTGTCCATCTTCATTTCACGCATTTTCGAGACAAGCTCCGAGAGGACACGGTCGAATATCGTGCCTACGCCGGCCTGCTGCGCCGAGTTCCGATGCACGGTGATCCCCGTTGCCAGCACGATACCGTCCTTCACGTCGATGGAACGGTGGGAAAAGGAGGCTATCAGCAACTCGTTCCAACCGGCCCTGAGCAGAAGTACCTGATCCTCCAGTGGCAACGACGTAAAATGCGGGATGTGTTTCGCCCATGCTACCAGCTGGAACAGCTGTTTGTTCGTGGCGTTGCAAATGTGCGACACTGCATTCTGTGCATTGCAAGAGATGCCGAATTAATCGGAGCGTTTTCGTGGAATAGCTACGCGCGACCATTCCACGAAAATATCAGTTCACGACATCGTTGTTTGTATGATGGCGGGAAAAAAATTGGGGGGGAGGGCGCTCCATTTACGGCGCGCGTTCGAACTACGAGCAAAATGGCGAAAAATTTCGTGTTTTGCTTCTTTCGTTGTGATTAGTGAGAGTTAATAATCGCGTGTGTATCGAAAAGATTTGTTTAAAATTTAAAATATAGCATTGTATATACGATTTTGTCAATTTGCGACCAATTACAGATTTCTTGCAAAAGTGAAATATTAATAGTAATAAAATTTTGGAAGTTACAAGTTGCAAACTAACCACAAATTCTATTGCGCGGGAGAATGGTAAATTTTTATTTAACTCTCGTTTCTTTGTGCTAATGAAATTGCGCACGAATTATCTACGATCCAATTATTGAAGATCCTCAATTATTTTAATGTGTACACGACTCGATCGATTCTTTTTTTAATTCGCATTACACGAAACGATCATATCAGATAGATATTAAAGAAGATCTCAAACGAGATTAATTTAATCACCAATCCAGACCCAATGACAAATAAATTGATTTCGTACCGACACAGCTGTCCATTATCTAAAGCACTCCAATATCACGAACTTCTTCATATCGTATTCGTTCGCCAAATAAATTAATAAATAAAATAAAAGTAATAATTTTAAGTAATTCGGTTTTTGATACTTCGATATCATATCATTTGTATTAAATTATATTTATCCTTCAAATCAGAAACTTTAAAAAGAAAACCATAATACATGCTCTATATTTGTATTGAAAAAAAAAAAATGAAAAGCAGATCGAATCGTGTATACAGGTATACGTGATTGAAACAAACGACGTCGTGAACTGTTCCAATTCTACTATCCGTTTTATCTCTTCGTCACATTCGTTCGATTAATATTTACCTCGTAATTTCCCTGTTGCTCCATCTTGCACTCGACTCTTTTCTCGGCCTCTAGGATACGCTCGATCGGCATGTCCGAATGCAGGCTACTAGTGCTCTCCACCTCGCTCTGATCCCTTTCCTTGGTACGTTGACGTTCCTCTTGGACCGCTTCTCTCTTCATTCCCATCGCGAGACATTTCTGGTATCTGCAATACTGACATCGATTTCTCTGCCGTTTGTCAATGATGCAGGATTTCTCTTCCCGACACGCGTACGACAGATCCTTGCGCACGGTCCTCTTAAAGAATCCTTTGCAACCCTCGCAGCTGCAAAGGAAATTATTTTCTCGTCAGAATATTAAAATTGCTTCGAAGTTTATAATTTTTAATTTTTAATTTTTACGATTTTGAAGATACGTATATTTCACGTTTCTGTTAAAGATTAATCTTATTGTTGCTTTTATTTATATATCAAAGAGTTTCTTATACTATAGATGGAATAATTCATTGGAATTATGAATACGAATAAATTATTCTTGTGAATCATTCTCACTCCATTAAAAAATATTGTTCATGTCGAGGACATAAATCCTCGTTAAAAAAATTTGGAAAAAACTTTTTCGTAACTTTCTTAAGTTGCATCTCAAAAAATTTTGATCCAATTTTAAATTTAGACTTTTCACAATTTAAACATTACTATAAGAGATAATTATTTTTCATCGTTTATATAAAAAATTATAAACAATTTAACGTTACACTTTCTTAACGTTAACTTAATTTATAACGCGAGAAAATTTATCTTTTCAATTGCAACCGTATAAAATATATTCTTAGCGAAATTTCAGAAAAAGGATTCACGATTTCAACGATGAATCACCCAAGATCCAGACAACACCGAGTCGTATTTCGTAAAAAGAGTTCGAATACGTTGTCGTGTTTTATCCGACTCTTTCGCTTGATTCCACTTCGGCTAATCCAGGGATTGAATAAAATACCTAGGGGTTTACGATTCCTCTCGCGTAATCCCTCGTCTCTCTTTTTCTCTCTCTCTCTCTCTTTTTCTGTTTAAGAACAATGTATCCACCAGACAATCGAAAGTTGCACGCGTGCACGAATAATTCAATCAGATCAAAGTAATGGTGCGGATTGTTTAGACTTTTGGAAATTTGCGCGATCGTTACGATCAAATAATTTTGACTCAATATTTTAATCAGACAATATATATTTCTGCGAAGAAAGGTAAATGTTTATGGATTGTTTTGGATTTGAAATTTTAAGGAATATAAAAAACGGAATCATCAACGGGGGAAATTTATTATTACAAATGATATAATATTTCAAGATATTTTATTGTAATAAAATAAAAATAAATTCTTCATATTGAAAGGTAATAAATTTTAATAATGCAAATTTGCAAAATATCGTCGACAAGTTCAAAAAAATTTACATTATTTATTCGTATTCGTTTCATTTGTCACGAATTATCTATAAATAATATATATATTTCGAAGAAACGTATCTATTTTCGATAAAGAGGTGATCCGTTTTAATCGTGTACTTATCAATATAAAAAAAAAAAAAAAAAAAAAAAAAAACTGACACGCACATTCGAAACTAATCGATAATGTTTTCAATTTAATTCATCTCACGAATTAAAAGAAGTCATATTTATTTGTCCAATAAAAACAAAAGAGCGATCCGTTTTAATCGTGCGGTTATCAATTCCAAAAAAAAAAAAAAAAGAAATTTACACGTACGTTCAGGGCAAATTGATCAATCAATCACACTGGTTTTTAATCCAGTTCGGTTTGTCATTGGGTATATCTGTCTTCTCCCGATGCTAACGAGGGCGATGAATATCGAATAAAATGGTGGAACGCACCGGACGAGTAGGAGCGAATCTAAATTTCGCAAACAAGCTTTCCACCGTTCCGTTCCGTTTTCGTTAAAGCTCCCCGATGATAGTCGTATTTGAGGATCGTTTTTAAAATTGGAACTAGTCCAAAAACACTCGGCGACACATTCCGCGAACAGGAATTTATTTTTGTTTCCAGCCATGCACGAAACATCGGGCGTATTTTCGATTCGAACCAAACATTTTCTCACTGCTTGTTTTCACTTTTAATAACTACAAGCGACAAGCGAAATCCCTCTCTTTCGGCAGGAGATCGTTAGTCTTCGTTTGAAAGCATCGGCGCCAATTAGAGCGAATTATTGCGCGAAGATTTACGCGTTGGAGAAAACATTTTGCCGGTAAGATAATCGTTTCACCTTCGATTAAAATTGTTGATATTGTTGATGATTTATTTTAATTTTAATTTTTTTTTTTTTAAGATGGAGAGATTCTTTTGTACGAAAAATTGTATAGTAGAAAATATTTCCAACTTTGCTCCTACTAACTTATTATTAAAAGAGCGAAAGAGTGAAAATTGGAAAAATTGCGAGAAAAATAGCGGTGAAACAAACTTGAAAGAAAGAATGTTTCTCTCTTGTACTCCGCGTAAATATCAAGTCTAATAAACCAAATCTCGATATTGTTCTTGAACAATACGAAAGAGAAACGATACGATGAAGTAATCCCATGGATCTCGACGAACGTCAAAACGCTCGCCCGTCCTTTCTTCTTTGCGCTTGCGATACGCGAGTTTATTCGAGATTTATGCGTGTTTTCAACTACGAAATCCGGTAGAAGCGTCGCGAGACGATGGATGGAGTTACACGACTCACTGTTTTCCGTCCATCCGTTTCCGCTGTCGTGACGCGAGACAATGCTTGTATGTATTAGGGACGAATTTGGACGAGGCGTGCATTTAAATTGCCACTAAAATATATTAAGAGAGAAGTTTGAGAAAGAAAATTTTTCAAACTTCGATTTAAAATTTCAAGATTTTTTACCCTAATCTTCCATCTTAAAAATTCAGACCGAATCTTTTTTTTATATTCCGATTATTTCTCCATGATCGAGCGCGAAATTTCGAAATTTCGTTTTGTTCCAGCTTACCTCTCAATAGCGAAGAAATTAAATTATAAATAGGAGAGTAACGAGCAACACGTGGCGAAGATTCTGGACCACCGTGAAAGTCGTTTGATCTCGTCGAGTTTATGCTTAAAGACAAATAAGTCTGACGCGAGACACGCGCGAAGAAACTCGTTCCACGGACCGAAGTTCCGCTATCGGAAACGCGCAAAGGCCTTCGACATCCGTCTACAATAACATTTTGATAATGAATAGCGACACGCGGCTTCCTTTCATCCATTTGGTATTCCATTTGTTTTTCCATCTGTCTAGAGCAACTCGTAATCTTGCGTAATCGTCTCGATTGAGAAGCTGCTCAATTTGTGAAAATAAAAAAAGACTTTATTTGAACAATTTACAATACATCAATGATGAATTTATTTCACAAGCAGGAATTCAATTCTTATAATTTTTCATTGAATTAAACACGTGGTGTATCACTGATCTGATCACTTTGTTCATTACAGGAATTACTTTGAAATCACTTCTGAATTGTAAGAAGTAATTGGATCTATATAATAACCGACAAAAAAAGAGAATTATTCTAAGAAGAATGAATAAAAAGCAACGATAAATAAAGAAAGAAAAAAGTATCTTAATCCAGACAAGAGACAATTTAAATTCATACATGATCTATTTCTATTCTATTCTCATATTTTACATGCACGATAAATCCATTTACCTTTTACATAATCCCTTATTTCAAAGTAAGTAAATGTCCTATTTTCCCTTCTCTACAACAAATTTCCTAAAATCATTTCCTAAAATCAAAATTATAAAATAAAATTCCACTTGTGTTGTTTATCACAGAAGGAAGAAGAGGAAGCTTTTGATGAGAAGACAAAAGAGAAGAAAATTCCGAGGAAGCGAGGCGATTCTCCCTGAATCGAAACGCATTAAGAAAATGAAAGAGAAAAAGGCCGCGAATCTAACACGGCCTCTGATAATGACCGTGATTGCTTAATTAGCTGCCAGTGGAGCAAAGTGAGTGCACGGGCAAACAGAATCCTCCCTTGCTCCGTAGGAACTACGGCTGGCTAGTCGTTCTAACCAGGCGAGCAAGTCCAAGGTTGTCGAGGCTCTGATGCAACGCGAGCCATCATCATCATCGGCCGTGGTCGCGCAAAGTGGGAGGTGGATGGAGGTGGAACGGCGGTGGGGCATTCGTGATACGCGCTCCGTTCACCAGAGAAGCAATTGAAGCTATGGCAAGAGTTTTGAGGAATCGAGTTATGGTTCGAATTTTGGAGTTTAAATGGAGGAAACTTTGAAATTTTTATGGATCATCAAAATGCGTAACGATCATCCCCTATTGCAATTTAAATTGCGAAAAATTGTGATGGTTGAAAAATGGTGGAAAATTATGAATAGAATAACGTAGAGAAAATTTTGAGATATAAGTACAAAGAGAGAGATTTGCAAGTTTTTGATGAATTATCAAAATGTGAATATAGCGAATTTAAGAATATCGTGATAATAAACTGTAAAGAAAATATTGAATAAGGAAAAAAACTTGGAAGTTTTTGCCGTAAATGCAACGAACTGTGCGATAGAGTTTACAAAGTACTTTGAAAAATTATTAAAATATTTTAGAAGAATTTTATTTGGAATAACGTGTTGCATTTTGAAGGAAATTTGGAATTTGGAATTTTTATATCTTAATAACTGTCGTGAGAAGAGGAAGAGATAAAAATGGCGGAAGTGAAGGAAAGTAAAAGACGAGTAGCGAGCAACTTAAGAGAGATTATCTTCCAAGATTGTTTTATCATGCGTCTACGACACATTAAATGATGATCTCAAGTTTTTCGAGCTGCTCACGTGTAACGCGCGACACTTAATCGGTCGATGACGTCTATTACATGGAAACATGGATTGGTTCTTAATCGATTAAGACTAAGATGGCAACTAATATGCGACAGAAATGATTGATGTACTCGATGCCAATCATTTTGCCATTTTTTTTTTTTTTTTTTATATATAGATTTCTCGAATCCAATTAAATGTAAGAAAGAGACAAAATTCATCGGACGAAGTTTTCTTCGAATATCAACAACAAGTTTCTGTAAAACGTGAAAATTAATGTTCACAGATATTTAATATTTTCTTAGTTAATAATAATATTTCTTCGTGAATATTTTTTTTTTTTGCATCTGGAAATTTGACGAAGAAAAAAATATTGTTCGTAATAATTGAATACTTTCATCGAGTTAACAATATTCTCCATCAATTATGCCTATGTATTGATAACATTATCACGTTAATCGGTTCAAACTATCAGAAATAGATTATTAAGATATAATTAAAAATACTCGCTCAGATTATCTTTATTATCTTTATTATCTTTATTATTTTCCCAACGAGAGATTAAAGATGTTTATTACAAATACTCAATACAAATATTATAAATACTCCCATCTTTCGCAGGTGTCTTGAAACGAAAGTTTAATCGCATTACCAGAGAGCTACAAACTTACTCAATTAAAACTTTTATCGAATTTCTAATTTCGTGTGAATTCTGTAAATCTTAATGAGAACAGATGAAATCGAAATAAGAGGGAGACTTATCCAAGAATTTCTCGAAGATATATTTCACAACTTATTTATTCGATATATATATGTTGGAATTATCGAAATTGAAAAATTTACATTGATCATAAAATCATTAATAAAATGGAAAAAAAAAATTACTTAGTCATGTTAAAAATGATAATCAAATTTTTTTTAGCGTATTCTTTAGCTATTTAAACTCGCAAAGTCACGATGAAGTATTTTTTTACGATAAATAGGTTCTTAGAAACTCTATTTTTATTCTACGTTATTACTGAAAGTGTCAGAACGAGGAAAATTTATTAGATCTTTTTTTTTTTCTTATGTTAAGAAGGAAATTTGCTCGTTAAAAAAAAAAAAGAAAAATATTTTAATATATATTAAAATATATATTAAATGTATTAGTATATGATTCGTTTGTCATAATTTTGTATGGTTTTTGTTCGAACAAGTTTTTTTTTTTTTAATGCAAAAGAAACGGTTCGCGAGTAATATAAAAATTAGCTAGTCTTTGTTGAGTCATATATAGAGGATTGATTGAAAAAAACACGTCATCGTTCTTAAGATATTTCTGTATGTAGATGTTACATAATTTTATAAGCGATAAATTATTCTCAAGTCACTTGGTATCGACCTGTTTAATGTGGGGCGTGGACTATTCCACTTTTTATTTTAAACTTCCAATATATGTATATATGTATCCATCTTCCATTTTCACCTCCTGGCTTATAATTCTTTTAGCAGCTTTTTACTTGTCACTTATATTCTACTTTGACATTTGATCAGACGAAAAGGTTGAAATATTGTGAATAATTTTTTTTATTCTTAGATATTCCAACTGAAGTTTAAATATTTAAGTTTTATTTGATCATTTATACATTGTTTAATGATGTAAATTTTAAGTTATTTCAGTATTTTAAACACAGTTATATATTCTAAGTATCTTAAAGATTTTGAGTGTTTGAAGAGCCATAAGAATTTTAGATTTTAAATATCTAAAACATAGTTCAAAATTGATAACTTCAAATATTAAAAAATATTCTGTTCGTGTATTTTAAGTATCTTAAAAATTGTTGAATATAATAATTTAACAATTTAACTAAATTATCTCTATTGAATCTTTTATTGTTTTAAATTTCTTCTTAAATAAATATATATTAATTGAATTTTAAAAGAATTTGTGAACAAGAACTCTTGTTTTCTCCCTATTTATTTTTCGACAAAATTCTTGCAACACATTATACGATACGAATACTTTTACTCTCCATACTTTCTCTCGATATACGTAACAATTATATAAATGAGCCCAGTTGTAAAATGACAAAAGAAAAGACGATTCACGTTCGTGAAATAAATCACGAAATTTTTTGTTTTCTTAATCGAACACGAACACGTTCACCAAGTCAATCGACGATTTTTATTCTCTCTCCATTAAACTCGACATAACAAAACGATTATATGCAAATGTATGTTCTCGTTTTTCATATGCATGTAATTAAAATTGTCAATCTGCGTGTTTGTTTACTCGTAAAACGTCACAGTCTAATAGGGTTCGGAAGGAAAATTATATATCTCGCTTTTTAATCGGTCTATATATGATGATGTAATCGAGTGTAATCATTTTACGTAGATCAATATAATGTTTTATTGATTTTATTTTGATTGTGTAATTGATTTTATATTTTTATTGTTTGTTGTATTGTAGAAAATTAAAATTTTAACAAGATATTATATATTTAATATATACACAGATATTTGATATAAACAGATGATTTATATCAAAAAGTTGAAATATTATTGAAAATATTCTGCTTATTTCCTAATTTTCTAAGCTCATCAATTTTTCATTAAAATTCGATTATCACATTCTTTGAAATAAATAAAAAAGAAGATTTTAATACAATTTGAAATTCTATCTTCTTCATTAAAATAGGTATCTTTCAGTCTTCTCTTTTTCTCTCACTTTGTCTTGATTTCTATCTATTCATTAATATATTCTACTTTTAATTAGTCAAGGATTAAAATTATCGAGTTATAATCAATGATTTTGAACTGATTATTTCAATAATGAAAAAAAAACTCGCTCAACGATTTCCGGAACAAAGGCAATTTATCATTGTTAACCTTGATTCAAGATCCGTATTTTGTAAAAAATTTACGATTCTCGGACGATTGATTGATCTTGGATAGTATCCAATTCCAAAAAAAATTGGATAATAAAAACTGGATAATAGAAAAATTATTCACGTTACGAATAATCCTAATTTCTATATTCTGAAATTATACAAACTTATTTAAAATTAAAACTTAGAATCAAGTTCATCATTATTTGAAAAAATAATAAAAAAATAATAATAAAACTAGAATTATCTTATTTTAGAAATTGTTATAAATTGCAGGATTTAATAGAATTCAATAGAATTAATTATAAAAATCGAAAAATTAAACCTAGAATTCCATTTTTATAAAAGTTTATAAAAGTTTTAGAAAATTTATCGATCGAAATTAATTTGACTTTCGAGAGATTATTCATATTTTAAAGAATTCACTAGACATCAGTTCTAGGGATCCCCAAATCTAAATCTACTTTTTCATTCGTATTGATGTTACAATTATTTCAAGAAAATAAAGAAATAAGTTGTTTTTCGACTTACCTATAGACACCATAATGTTTGCCACTGGCACGGTCACCGCAGATCGAGCAGAGGTGCTTGCTTCCGGAGAGAGGGTGGTTCGGCGGGTAGGGTGCGACTGCTTTGTTCTGGCCACTCGGCGACGTACTTAGAAGGTTGCTGTGACAACCAGCGGTGAAGGATCTTACATGCAAAGAAGAGAGTAACAAAAACACGAGCTACGAAACTACTGCCCCTGAATCGAGCAAAAAACTTTTCCATTGAAAACTAACAATTAACCCTTTAATAATCAAATTTCTCTAAAAAAAAAAAATTAATCACAAAATTAATTTATAGAATATGCATAACTCGTGAAACATTTTTAGAATAACTTCGTTAGAAAAATAAGTGTTAATAAGCATCGTTATAATAATAATTTTTTAACTAACTTGATTAAAAAACTTGTAAAAATTTCCATCAAAATTTCACGAGTTACAATATATAATATAATATATAAAAATTAAAAGTCGAAGTATATTTCGCTCGATTCCTGTAAGGGCGATAACTACGCTCACAATATACCCTCGATTTACGATGTCGTTCGCCAGAATCTCGATATCTGTCGAATCGATACAATCGTGTATCGCACACTGTCCCATCGATGCATTGTCGACAATTGTTAAATCTTAAGGATCGTTCGATTTACGATAGTGTTACTTACCCCGGACTATTGGGACCGGAAGGGCTGAAGTTTCCGGGGTTGATGAGGCTTGCTGTGTCGGGCTTCATGTCCAGTGGACTTTGCGGGCCCACAGAGGACATGGACATATTGCTGTTGTCCAGACTTAGCCCTGGAACAGACAAATATAATATCTATGTTAGAAAAAAAAAAAAAAAAAAGTTTGTAGAAATTATTTTAGTACATTTTATTTCTATTCAATTAATTAATTGAAATCACATATCATTTATTTAGAACTTAAGTGACAAGAAATTTCTAATTCCTTCGAGTTTGTTAGAAATTTAGGTAATTTTTTTCTATTTTTCCTCGACAAGTTGTTTAATTTTTTCTTTTTTTTTTTTTTTTTTTTTTTTTTTTTATAAGAAAACGATGTCGAAGCGATGATACACACATGTCCCAAATAAAACGTTACTTTCTAACGCGTCACAGAATTATACTTTTACCCCATTAATATTCACGACACGACGTCCTTTTACTTTCAGCCTCGAACGACCGAGATTCCCATTTGTCGATCGATCGAGGACGACTCGTCCACCACGTAACTACGCTAATTATCTCACCGAGATTCCAACTTATAATTTACAATAATAAGAATAATAAAAAGCAATAAGAATTAATGAATAATAACGATTAATCAATCATATCAATTTCCGCACACAGGCTACCGGTCGAAAATATTTGAACAATCTTGGTGAAATAAAGATTATATATGTAAAATATTCTAATTTTTTTTAACAAACAAATTGTCGATATTGTGAATGAAAAAAAAAAACTGTTAAAATGTTAAAAGCTTTATTAAAAACTTATAACGAAAATATAAAAATATATATAATAAATTCACGGTTACAAAATAAAAATAAAACAATTTACGTTCGCATTATTTATGCAAAAAGTAATTAATTCTGCATCTCAAAATGTCCACAGTTATTGACAATACAGGATTGACAATGGTTGAAAATAAAATTTATTATGTGACAAGTTGCATTTCTATTTTGATTTATTTCAATTGGCGCAAACAAACTAAAGATAAATATTGTTGATCTATTCTTGCATTATATCGTATAACCTAAATCTGTTCCTTTCGTATTTCATATTTTCTTCGTAATGATCCATGTTTATATAACATTTTTTTTCTCTCTCTCTCTTATGTTTCGATCCATATAATAGTGACGAAGTTGAGGACACCCTGTATAAGTGTTACGATATGTGCTAATCACTAAATAGGATTAAGAATTAAAGCTAATTTGTTGAGTCATTTACGTCGTCGGATCGTTTTATGTAAAGTTTCAGTGTTGTATAATATTTTCTAATCCAATCCTTTTTTCGGAAAAAAAAAAAAAAAGAAATAGATAAATAGAAATTCCCTGAAATTAATCAATTTCATAATAAATCTTCGTGAATGATTTGTTTCACATCGTATAAAAAGATAAAAATTTTAACGGGATAAGAAAATGGATAAAATAAATTCCGACCCATATTCGCAAACAATTTTATGCTTCGATGGTGGAAGCAACTACGAGCAAGTAGGATTACAAATCGTTCATTTTACCGCGTAATTCTCGTCGTTCCATCATCTTGCTTCATTCTACACTATATTGCTGCTCGATGCTTCTTTTTTCACGCTCTGTTTCTGATTCGTTACAAACTGTGTACGAATCGTTTGTACATATGCGTCATTAGTTTTCTACAAGATAGAAGATAAACGACATTTTAATAGGTTTCGGTCGAGCATTGTAGTCCTCTATTGAACGAAAGGAAGAGAAATATAATCGTTGGAAACAATAAAGAAAAGCCAAGAGAAGCAAGTAATACTTTGTAAAACGAAAGAGAGTCATGGAGAATCGAGGAAAGATAGGGAGAGACAGGGAGAGACAGGGAGAGACAGGGAGAGACAGGGAGAGACAGGGAGAGACAGGGAGATTTACGAGTCCCTACAATAATAATTTGATATCACAATTCTTTTTCTTTTATTTTTCTTCTCTTTTTCGCTTTTTTATCTGGAAATCGAAAATCGATACACGAGAATGTTATAATTCTTCTCTCGATTGTATAGCAAGAAATCAATTCTAGAGTTGTTGGTTTTTTTTAAATTTTAAATTCGCCGAAATTTCATTGCACCTTTTCTCATCGTTTAAGATTTCGTTAACCTTGCAACAGGTAATTTCCACGGGACTTACGTCATCTCGCTGCACACACGTCGGCCTTGACACACTAATCTGAACAGGGTCAAATTGTCCGAATTTTTTTGAAAATCGAGCCAATAAACAAAGCAGCCTAACAATGTTAGAAAAATCAAAATAATGAAAATTAACAAAATTAAAGATTTTGAGATTTTAGAAAGTTAAATAATACTAGATGATTAAAACGATAGATTTCAATAATAATTATTTAAAGATTAAAGATTGGATTTAAAATTAAATACTGTGCGTCATTTTTCATCAGTGACCGTTCTGTTCAGCAATTATAATTCTAATAACTTTAATGACATCATTATACTATCATACTTAAAAAGATAATCTCTCAAATAAAAAGCGATCTAACTTAATTCTCAACTCTAAAATAATCAAAGACTATTCCTTCAAAATGAACACTTCTGCGCCAACAAAAGGATAAAACAAAGGAACCAAAGAATTCCGTGGAAAACTTTATTCACTAGATCGAGACGTATCTATTTAACACGCAACTGATATCGGCCGCTCATCAACCACGTATTTCCGCGGAAAATATAATTACACCGAGGCCGTAACTCTCCTCAACGACTTCTATTTCGAGTGTTAGGGTCGCCGATTGCGCGTCGCTCATCGCGGTCGTTTATTAAACGCCGTTGCTTTAATTACGCAATCGCCGAGCGTGCAAAATGGATCGAAGGTCATCGACAAACGGCGAAACGAAAGCAACGTTCTCACGTTTGCATCAAACTGTACAGATCGCAACAAATATCTATCGACTTTAACCCTTTTTTAGAAAATTTACGTAGAGATTGAGTATTTTTAAAATTGCGAAGAATATTTAATCATGATCCTAACATCCAACATTCATTTTGCCAAACATATCTACGTCATTGACAAATCTCGAAAAAAAAATTAACAAACTTCATTCTTCGATTATCGAATATTATCGAATTCTCCGTTCAAAAATACCAGCTCTCATACTCGATATCGAGTAACACTCGAAGCATCGAACACAACGAAGAATCCATAAATTGCGAAACATCGTCTTGAAAATTCCACACACCACGAAAATATCTTTCTTGCAAAAATAACCTTAGCCAGTTCTCACGGAACTAAGGCGGAAGGTCGAAGGTCTATAGCCGCGCCTATGGTGGTGATTGATCGAAGCTACGATCTGGCAAGTTCGGCATCAGGCGAGTTGTGAACGCGGCTTTAAGGAGGGCGGGAGACGAGGACGCGCGAGAGTGACTGCAAGGCCAAGTCCTGTGACGGTACATTATACCGGCAGAGTGTCGGGCACCTTGACCAGGCGCAAACACGGCTGGTGGCAATGCTCGAAAACCGCGTTGTACACCGACGAGACGTCTCGTTTGAGCGATTGCACTTGGCGAATTCGTGCGTTTTCGATGTTTCACGGCGACGGATAATATTACCAGCGAGCTGTAGAAAATTTATAAGATACGTTGACTCAACGCTATGACGATCAACTATAATCGCAATATGTTTTACGAAAATATACAATGATTCGAATTTTTTCTTTTTTGAAAAAGTAAAGAAATAGAAATAATAAGTGATTAAAGAACAAATAAATATCGCTGATAATTTAATAGTTATGTGGCGCTACTATCGCTTATTAATCTACGAAAATGATAATGAAATTGAGAAATGTTGGAGTTGATTATTTTTTAACTTTTTTTGCAGTGAACAATTTGTAACTACTTTAATCCTCTCTCGAAGAAAAATCGACGAAAAAAGAAAGAATTAATTCTCGAATCAAAAAGAGGACCGATTCGATACATCTCTCCTTAAAATAACCATTCAACACGCTCTTCGGGCAAAAAAAAAAAGAGGAGAGTGAGAAATAACGAAACGCTTTCATAACGAATCGTATGCATTTTGCATCGAAGAGGAATCACCAAAAGGAGAAGAATAAATTACGAGTCTCATTTGAAGGAAAAAAGAAAGACGAAACGAGAGGCAAAGAGGAGGGAGGATAAAAAGAACTCGAGATGGAAAGAGAAGAGAGAGAAAGTGGACCGACCTACGCCAACAATGAGTCAAGTGCGTCCACTTTTGAATATTTAAAAAATTATATATATATATATATATATATTCGCCTTTAAAAACGCGTCGATCGAACAACCTGATCTTCAAGGGCAAAAGAGCGAAATTGGGAATGGTCTGTGTAATCTGTTCACGGGCGTCTAATATCGATCTTCAACCCGTCAACGACAAAACGCTCGAGGATTCTTTTGTTCCGCGGGATCCGGAATGCGTTATCGCGCCCCTTTCTGCGAACGCGCATTGGAAGGGATGAAAAGTGATGAAAGCGTGGTTACGAGGACAGCCGTGGCGGTTGAGTAATTTCACAAGTGATGGATGAAAATTTGAAGGATGATGGAACACGTGGCGATTGGAATGGAATTTCAATCGTTATTCCCTCTTATTTGGGAGAGGTTTTTCTGATATATTTTTGCTTTCATCCTCTCGTTTATCTTCCAGATAGATGCAACGAGACGGATATTTTTGTTTTTAAAGAAATGATAGAACGCGTGCGAGATCTATGATTAATATTGCGGAGTAAAATATTATTATTAGATTATAGAATTAGATAGAAGAGAAACGTAGAAATCTTGATCTCATTACCTTTTCGTTTCTCGAATTTTGTTTCGTGGTTCGAAAATATTATACGTGGTTTTCGAGAAAAGAAGAGAAGGAGAGAAATAGAAGGGAGATCCGACGAATTTTTCTACGACGAAACCCGAGACAAGGGAAGAATGGACAAACCGAGGGGGTTTTAATACCAGATATATCGCGGAGATAAGAGGAAAGCAAGTCTGACAGGCGACAAAAGGGAGGCGTTATTAAAAAAGAGGTATAATAGACGACACCGTGTAATCGCAATTATTCTCATATACGATAAGAATTTTTGCTTCGTTCG